TACAAAGCTTAGAAACCCAAACCCATGAACCATACATTTACACCACATAAAAAGCTTGAAAGCTTTTATCATAAAGAAAACGGCAACTGGATAGCATAACGAAAACAAGTATGACCAAGTATAAAGAATTATAAACTACTAAAAAAACATACTGTTAAGCAGAAACCAAAAGATACAAAGTTTGTCAATATTTTCTAAATCAGTAGCTCAAAACACAAACACAACATTAACAATAATTTTGGCTAACCAAACCCAACCTATTTTTATAATTCAACAATCTACAAAAGAAACATTTAACATACTTTAAAAGAAGTACAACTCAATGCTAAAGAATCATGAATACTCACAAAAATTACTAAAAGGACAACTCAAAGCAATCACTGAATGAGTAAATCTGTCAGAATTAATAATTGACCATGATCAAACACAACACTTCATTACATATAAGTTAAGCAAAAATCAATATACCTATAAACAAATGTTTCAAAACAGAAGTGTGCTAACCTTGGCCTTCTCCATTCGCTTTATACTCCCCACAGCATCAGTTTTCAAAACCATACCTCGAACTACTGTACAGTTATGCAAACCCCCACCCACAATCTTTGCAACACGTACATTATCCACATTAAAGTTTGCTGGGTTCTTGGGGCATACTTGTATGCATGCCTATATTGTCCAATAAAAAATCTACCATCAGAACTTGCTTAGTAACACATTATTGTTCTTTCTTTTCCTTTTCTTTTTCCTTTCTCCTAAATAGCTGAGCAGCTGACATAGAAATTAAGCAATAACAAATAAGGGTATGCACGTTATACTTACATCGGCAACAAGTGAGGATAAGATATCTTCTTGTCCAAACTGCTTGCTGGCAACAGCTGCCTTCATTCTAGAAACCACTTCTTCTTTGTTACGGACATCCATATTCTCAGAACCTGGCTCTAGCAGTTCATCTAGGATTTCGATCGTCTGAAATATTCCAACAAGCGAGTAAATAATCAGAACGGAAGAATTCTAATAACCCAAATGAGTAACCAATCAGAAAATCATTGGCAAACCTTTTTGATGGCTTTATTGTACCCACTGATGATCTCACTTGGGTGCAGGCCCATCCTTATAAGCTCCTCTGCGTTTTGCAGGAGCTCCCCAGCAAAAGAAATGGTCAGATTAGCACCATCACCAATCTCCTCTTGCTGAGCCCTGCCTGCCAAAACCAAAAGCTTGGCAGCAGGATGCTGAACCTCAAGCTCATTGACAATGGTGGCAGCATCATTTGTCACAAAGAGCTTGTCCAAATGATTGATAACCATCTTATTCATACCTGAGCAGTAGTGAGTACAAAAACAAATTTTAAGAAACGAACTGAGTTCAAATCTGATAAACAGAGACTGTGAGTTTTAGAGTAAGAAAGCGATACCATTGGGACCCAGAGAAGTTCGAGTGATAGCAGAGAGTTGCTTGCAGGCATCGATGTTCTTCACCACCGCTTCGTCCAAACCGGAGAGGTGCTTGTGCCCCTCCTTTAGCATTGATTGTATTCCGTAAGGCTGCATTTCAAACCCCTTCTTCTTCTTCTTCTTCTTCTTCTTTTCACTGAAACTTAAACCTAGAAATGGCTACCTAAACCTTGCTCCCTCCAACTGAAGCCTTTTTTCCTTTCAGCCGGTCTCTTCTCGGTGCTTCTTCGCTTTTTTCCTTTCAGCACTTTCTTTTTTCTTTTCTTAGGGTTTTTTTTTTCTTTTTTTATATTACATTACTTTCTTTTTTATTTTCTTTTTTTGTCATTGGGAGAAAAGAAAGAGTTTTTATTAAAAATAGCCAAAATTTACCCTCCACTTTCAAAAATGTCAGTTTTTACAAAATCTTTCAATATATAGCCAAAAACTCACATAAATAGACACAAATGCCCTTAAAAATTAAAACTCACATAAACTTACAAAGTTCCAATATATTTTGAGTCCTAGTTATTGATATAGACTTGGTATCTGACTAAAGATCGAGACTTTGAAGAAAATTGATGCGTGAACTCGTAGATGCCCAACAAAACCTGTTAAAAAAACATGTACGAGTATATGTTTACCAAAACACACCTAAACTGATGAATATTTCAATTTCTTGTTCCTACCAAGCCAAAGAAACGAAGAAACAATTGAAAGAAAGAAGCAACCGCACGAAGAAGCACAAAATACGCATAAAGAAAAAGAAGATCACTCACCAATAGTTCTACTAGGGCTCGTTTGGTACACAGGACTGTCTTGGCATGGACTATGCTTAGAGATTGTCTTGGCTTGGTCTAAGTTGGATAACACTTATCCTGCGTTTGGTGTACGCTTGGACTAGCACTAGATTTTTTATTTTTTTTCAAAACTATTTATGTATATGTATATATGTATAAATACATGTATTATGTATGTGTACATATGTATTTTATAATATATGTGATATGTATGTGTATATACATGTATATATGTATATTATAAATAATATAAACATATGTATATATATATACACACACATACATGTATATATTATAAAATACATATATATATATATATTATATTATAAAATACATATATATATATATGTATTATACCCATGTATATATGTATATTATATATATATAATATATACATACATTATACATATATAATATATGTGTATATAGGTGTATATATGTATATTATAATATATACATGGGTATAATACATACATATATATATATGTTTATATTATTTATAATATACATATATACATGTATATACACATACATATCACATATATTATAAAATACATATGTACACATACATAATACATGTATTTATACATATATACATATACATAAATAGTTTTGAAAAAAAATAAAAAATCTAGTGCTAGTCCAAGCGTACACCAAACGCAGGATAAGTGTTATCCAACTTAGACCAAGCCAAGACAATCTCTAAGCATAGTCCATGCCAAGACAGTCCTGTGTACCAAAAGCATTGGGACTAGCTAATCCTCCCTTTCCACATGGGATTAGTAGTCCCCTACTAAGGAGGTGTTTTTGGTGGGCCCGGTATTAGCAATCCCATCTAAGACTAGGATTAGATAAAACAAACATGGTACTAAATTTAGTCCAAGCCAGTCCAACCCAATCTCATGTACCAAACGAGCCCCTAAGGTGCATGTGATTCCAAACTTTGTGTAGTAGGGTTTTGCATTTTAGGTTTATTTGGGTTTTAATTTTTAAGAACATTTGTGTCTATTTAGGTGAGTTTTTGGCTATATTTGAAAGATTTTATAAAAAATAACATTTTTTGAAATGGGGGGTCAATTTTGGCTATTTTTGATAAAAACTCGAAAAGAAATCCTGGGGTTTTGATTTTGGGGTTTCGATCCTAGGTGTCAAGAAGGGGGAAGGGGGAGGGACATAACCACTGTGGTAACCCCACTCAATTTTAACACGCATTGACCCACTTGCAAATTGGCTTTTATTGTAATGATTATGATAATACGATCAACTACGTAAAACCCCCTAAATTATGGGGTTGTTACAAATTCATACATGAAGTTTGAAGACCCTACAAATAGGTATCCAAACTTACGGAAACCATACAAATAAGACCCTCCGTTATAAAATTTGTTAAAAGTTGATGTGGTAGATGTGGGTTCTAATTTTTTGCTAATATAGACTAAAAAACTTAATTAAAAAGGGAGCGTTTTTTCTCACCACTTTAACTCAATGTGTACCCTCATCGTCCTTCTTAAAACTTGACACTTGTCCATCCTTATAATCATAGTTAACTTTTTGTTTTTAAAATTTTTTAAGTATTTAAAAAAATATATATATAAAAAAG